ATGATGCCGAGTGGAAGAAGCCTGGCACAAGAGCATGTTGATTGATTCCATGCCAAATTAACCTAGGGTGGTGGAAATCCAGACAGTGGTTGTCTGAGGTGAGAGACGATTGGCTGGAAAGAAACATAGGGGAACTTTCTGGGGTGATAAAAATATTCTGTATCTTGGTGATGGTGTGGGTTGCATGGGGGTATACGTTTATCAGAATTTACCAAATTGTACATTTAAGAACTAGCATTTCATTATATGCAAAGCATACCTTAATATTTCAAATTTTAGAAAATGTTTAAAAAATAGAAGAGTGATGTCGCTGGAGATGAATTGAAAATTTGAAATTGGCCTCTGCCTCCTTGCCAGTCGAGAGTAAGGATTATTATAGACAGACCTACCTCATGAGGTTGTTGTGAGGCTGAGAACACAAATGTGAGGTCCTCAGAAGAGCACCAGGCAAGGAACAAGTCTTAACCACGTGGATTTTTCTCCTCAGGCCTAGGAAGGGGCAGGACATAGCTACAGATTCTGATGAACTAAATGAATGACATTTTAGAAAAATCTGTGGAAATACTCGTTTGCCACTGCCCTTCAGGCAAACTGCATTCTGAATAGGAAAAGAGGCCATGTTTACAACTGAGCAAGTTTGGGTACCAGTAAAAAACACCCCAAAAAAGCATTTCATGACCTCTCATGCTGCGGGCCTCACCTTACAAGATAAACAGTGTCAGGCTTTACAGAACTTGCTTGTGTAAATATTTGCTTAATCTTGAGAAAGAAGCTATGAAAATTTACCTGTACTGCAAATTAAATCTAATTTCTTAAAGTGTCTACTTTTAAGACACTAGTTTATATTTTTATGGCTACATTAAAGAGAGAGTAATTGAAAGGCCTCTCCCTAAGTTTTTTTTTATTAAATAAATATGTGCTCTAAAGTGATATGTGAATATGTGATCCAAAGTAACACACATATAAAATAACTGGCATTATTACATACCTTGCATTACAAAGGAGTGGAGAAAGGGAGGGTTCTGCAGCCGGATGGTGTGTTTTTGGGCAAGTGATTAGTGCATTTGGGCAAGTGGCTTCACTTGTGTCTCACTTCTCATCTACAAAATAGGGATGAAATGGTACTCGTCACAGGGTTAATGTGAGACTAGAAGTAAGTACAAGAACCAGGCCTGGCCCTGAGCAACTCCATCAATACTAGCTATTTCTATTATTACAAATAAACCTCCATCTGCTAACAATAATAAACGAGGTAGTAGAAAATCAAATAAAAGTCGAATGTATCCCACTACAACAGTAAAGAAGCAAATTAAAGAGGGCACTTGGAAAGATATCATTGCTACTGTTAAACACTGAGTTTTAGACAATCTAGAAGCAGCTCTCATCACTATATTCAGTGGCGCAACTGGTAGGCTCAAATATTCTTGGAATAACAGAAAAGTAAAACAGAGAAATCTTTATAAAACACTCCCACCCCAATCACAGCTTCTATATATGATTGTTGATCTAAAAGCATAGCCTCAGAGACTGCAATTCATATCCAAATAACTGTTACATAAAATATTTTACTTCCTTATCATTACAGTCCTGTGAATGAAGTGGAGCAATCTCTGTTTTCCAAATGAAAAACTGGGTCTTCTCTGTATGATTCATCTACATAAATGAGTCTCTGTTGAGAGGGTAGAATTCCTTTTCCTTTGTGTAGCCTAGCAAACATGGCTCTGCTAAGGGCAGCAGCCACTCATGGCTCAACGTGTTTCAAACTAGCTTTTGTTATTTATTATCACGATTAGTATTATCAAAAAGCAATGCATGATCATTATTGAACATTTTGAAAACCTACAAAAATGAAAAGATGTCCCACCAGCCAGAGAGTAATTTTCCAGTTTTTTTCTTTGGTTTTTTTTGAGTCATGGTCTCACTCTGTCACCCAGACTGGAGTGCAGTGGCACAATCACAGCTCACTGCAGTCTCTACCACCTCAGCTCAGGCGATCCTTCTGCCTCAGCCTCCCAAGTAGCTGGGACTATAGACACGTACGACCATGTTGTTTGCTTTTTTAAAGAGATGAGGTCTCACTATGTTCCCCACGCTGATCTCAAACTCCTGAGCTCAAGCAATCCTCCTGCCTTGCATCCTGAAGAGCTAGGATTATAGGCTTGAGCCACCACATCCAGCCTCTTTGCATATTTCCTAATAGTTGTGAACATGCTTTATGCACAATCACATACCATGCTTTTTAAATTTAATGTTATGCCAAAAGTATTTTTATGTTACTGCTTTTAAGGAATCTGGACCCCAAAATATGGAAAAGCTGTTTGGGTAACTCTCCATGGACATTCAATCCCTCAGCTCCCATCCAAATTTAACTCACATGTAAAAAAAATAATGTTCAATCAATTACTTCTTTATAGTAATATTAGTAACTAATCACTAGAAAGCTGCTAACAGAAATTTATTAATTCAATATTATTTTATACTACTACTTCAATGAGCAATTCTATTAGTACCAAGAATTGCTTTTCAGGAAACTTAGGAAAATATGTAGGGAAATAGAAACTCTTAAATATGTTTTAATTAAGACAATTTCTAGCTATTAGCCTTACTCATAAGGATCGAACAAACTAGTGACTAAAAGAAAGTAAATAACTACTACAGAATAGGTTTACATGGTGCCTATCAGTGTGCATAAGGGTGTCACAAAAATCCATCATATTAAACTAATGTATTTTTTTCTCTAACCTATTCTACAATAGTACTTTTCTATAATCAAAAATGTTTAAAGAACTAGATAAGCAGTGGGTAAAATATGAAATAGCTAGATAAGAAAAGCTTATATGAGTGGTTCTCTACCCAATTTTTATTAATCATATTTTGAATACCGTTATATTGTGACAAAAGTAACACTAAAGTCATGTGAATGCTGTCACAACACTTTCTGTTTACAAAAAAAATCTCAGAATCTCAAATATATCTTTTATTTTTTAATTTTTTATTTTTTTGAGTTGGAGTCTCACTCTGTCGCCCAGACTGGAGTGCAGTGGCCGCTCCTGGCCACCGCAGCCTCAACCTGCTGGCTCCGGCGATCCTTCCGCCTCAGACTTCCAAGTAGCTGAAACTACAGGCGTGCGCTACCACGCCCAGCTGATTTTTTGATTTATTGTAGAGATGAGATCTTGCTGCCCAAGCGAGTCTCGAACCTGCGGGCTCAGGCGATCCACTCACCTCAGCCTATATCTTTTATTTAATGTATGCTTTATTTCAGCAAATATTTGAGCCTGTGATCTAGGTCACTAAGGATGCCTGGTACAAATTTAGCATTTATGTTGTCGCTCACTGCAAAAAGCTTGTAAGTCATTTTAGAGGCCAAGCTTCAGAAATTCTTTCATCCTCCCAAGAAATATAACCTCTTCTGCAGCCCTTAATGAACATCAGTGGGGAATTGACAAAACAGTCTTACTGGGTGAAAAGTATAACGAAATTCTGCAAACCAAACTGATTGATCAAAGCTTTAGGCTTATGCCTCATACAAAAGTGTAAAAGCCTTCACTGTCCACCGATACCTCTGAATAGGTTCTCAATTCACTAATTTCAATCAGGCAATCGCAAGTTCTAGGCATTCATCATGCCTAGAACTCTGTGGAGCTCCATGCAATGCACCATATGTGTGTGAGGGGGGCAGTGGGGGGACAACTTTTTGAAAGGAGCTCACATTTTAAGAACCCTAAAGAAATATGCATGGAACCTAAACAAGGTCAAGATCAAACTTACAAAATGAATTGTAGCCAAATTAGAGACTAAATACATTAGGAGAATCATTTGGGGCCAGTAAAATAATTGGCATCTTCACCATTTTTTTTAAGAGTGAGAAAATCTGGCAGCTGCTCTTCTTAACTAACTAAATCACTGCTTCTCATAAAGTTGCCAATGCTCTCTCCTTCTCCTGAAAAACCTAAGGAAGTGTTTAAAGCCAACTGAGGCCAGGTGTAGTGGCTCATGCCTGTAATCCCAGCATTTTTGGAGGCTGAGGTTGGGAGGATTGTTTGATCCTAGGAATTTGAGAACAGCCTGGGCAACACAGCAAGACCTCGTCTCTACAGCAAATCAAAACATTAGCTACAAAATCATCTCTACAAAATAATAATTTAAAAGCTGGGCGCGGTGGCTCATGCCTGTAATCCCAACACCTTGGGAGTGAGAAGATTGCCTGAGCCCACAGGTTCGAGACCAACCTGGGCAACATGGTGAGACCTCGTCTCTACAATAAATCAAAAAATTAGCTAGGTGTGATGGCGCATGCCTGTAGTTCCAACTACTTGGAAGGCTAAGGCAGAAGGATTGCCTGAGCCCAGCAGGTCGAGGTTGTGGTGGCCATGAGTGTGCCACTGAACTCCAATCTAGGTGACAGAGTGAAACTCTGATTCAAATAATAATAATAATAATTTTTTTTTTAAAGGTGTGGTGGCACATGCCTGTAGTCCCAGCTACTCAGGAGGCTGAGGCAGAAGGATCACCTGAGCTTATGAGGTTGAGGCTGCTATGAGGAGTGATCGTGCCACTGCACTCCAGCCTAGGGGACAGAGTGAGACCCCTCTGAGACTTGAAGAGAAAAGAACAGAAAAGAAAAGAAAAGATGGAAAGAAAAGAAAAGTGAACTAAGCAAAAAGTTGACTATACCAGAGTGCGGAGCAATGGTGTGCTCACAAGAGTCAGGAAGAGCTCAAGCACTTCTAAGAGAAATGGTAATCTCTCAATTTATGAGGCTAGTTCTCCCCTACCCTTTCCATATGCTCCGATGTGCGCATACACACACACACACACACACACACACACACACACACACACACACACACTACACCTTACACAGGGGAAAGAAACATGTAACTTGGCTTGAGCAAATACAGAGTAAGAAACCAAATCCAATAGATTTTAAAAGACTGGACAGTGGTATGCATAGCAAAGTATCTATGCATGAAAAGCCCAGAGGCTTGTGTGCTTACCCAGAATAATTCTGCTTGGTGAAAGGTCCAAGCTTCCAGAAGGTGCAGTGACCAAGTGAGACCAGCTCTCCAGGAAATCTGGTGGCAATGTGGTTAGCCTGTTGCTTGATAAATCTAAGTAGGCAAGGTTCTTCAGATATTTGACTGCCTCATTTGGCACACTGGTTATTCTGTTATTGTGCAAACCCAGGGTCCTCAGAAGGGGCATGTCCCTCAGAGATGCCCAAGGGAAGGCAGCCAGAGAATTTCCATCCAGGCGCAACTCATGCAGCTGCTTGAGGTTGTAAAAGCTGTTGGGGTCAACACTGGTCACGGAATTGTAAGTCACCCAGAGGTACTGGAGCTCCACCAGGTAGTAGAAGGCCTCTGCGGGGATTCTGCGGATGACAGTCTTCTCTATGCGAAGCTTCATAATGTCCACAGGGAGGTTCATAGGGACCTCATTCATATCCATGTCATTACATAGCACCAACCTAGCATCACAAGAGCAAGGCAAGGAAATCCACTTTCCAAGACTCATTTGAAAAAACAATCCCCATTGGAAACATGTATCAAGTTTTCATTCCCTCCTGGTTTTCAAAGCAATATCTGTTCAGTTCTGGCTAATTTGTTCATTAATAATGCATCATCATCATCACCTTCTTGTTCTTCATCATCATGACAGCAGCTACTTTTAAGTTGAACCATGTGAAGTGGCCATTTTTGTAGTAAAAAATGATCAAATATCAGCAATTTCATGTGGTTCAACGTAATATTTATGGAGTTCTTTATGTACAAGGCTTATGCAATAAGGTCACATTTGTTATTTTATTTAAGCATCACAACCACCCCAAGAGGTAGATACTAAGTGCTAGGTAAAAGCACCAGCTCTAAAATCAGACTGATCTTTGTTCAAATCTAATCTCCATCACTACCCCTATGTCCATGGAAAGCCCCTTCACCAGTCTTTCAACCTTATTTTCCCATATGGCACTGTCACAATGATTCATTAAAATTGGCATAAAACTGTACATCTTCCTGGCAATGCACAGATCACATTGTTAAAACAGAGCTCGACCTTAAACATATACTGTGAATACGTTTCTTCCTAAATAAATGATCCTCTTAAATAAGGATCAATTTATGATTTTAACAGAAGATTCCTTTAAAATGGGCCATTTCCTAAAGAGGTGCACTTTGGAGTTTAACAGAAGTGGTTTTGAAAGGTAGTCGTGTAACTAGCTGGGTGACCTTGGGAAGCCTCAGTTATTTTCCATGTAAAACTTGGGTTGTTGATAATAGCAGCAAACTCCTACTGAGGACTTCTTATGTGCCAGGAAGGTGTAAATTTTATATCCTTTTTAAGAGGATCATTTATTTAGAAAAGAAAAAAGTGTTCACAGTAGATGTTTAAAGTTCAGCTCTGTTTTGACAATGTGACCTGTGCATTGCTTTCATCTAATGAATAAACCAGAAACTGAGTTTATTCTGTTTACCACTCACTAACTTAAGTGACCTTGAGCAAGTCACATTTTGATCTTGTTTGTTGGCATATGTAAAACAGGCATAGAAAAACAAGTCTGTCCCACATGAGGGTGTAAAGTTTGAGGAATCTGAGAGCTTACACTCATTTTGGCCTATTTTTCTCCCACAGTGTACTCTGTGAATTACTAAAAATGAACAATAAAAAGTTTGCAAAGTATCATCTAAATTATGATACACTATATTTTTAGTAAATAACAACAATAAAATGGTCATTCAATAGAACACATCATATTACATCAGTGGAACGTAAACAGAGGAAAGTTGCCTAAGGCTGCAATGAACGGTCACGACATCTTCTTTCTGTAACTTAGGAGAAGACCTGTGGCATCGTTGAAATTCTTAGGGACACCTCTTGTTCTTCATCTCTATTTTGTGTCACAAATTTCAGTGCTGTTTCATACCAGAATGATAACAGTTTCTACTCATTAAGAAAACATTTCAGTGCGGAATAATAGAAAAAAGCCTAGACTGGAAGCTAAAAGACCACCATCTGCATCAACTCAGTTATTGGATCAACACAATGATGTGATCTAGATAGGACAAGTCATTTGGTCTCTGTACCATTTAGTTTCTTCATTTATAAAATGACAGGGGTTGAACTAAGTTATTTCTGGAGTTCTTACCAGGCATAATATTCTACGATTTTTAGAAAATCCATCAATAATGGGGCCACCACAGAGAAGGAAACATTTCTCTGATAGTTTTCTCAAAAGTACCCTGGCCTGATCATTCACTGCTGCTTTTCATTTGTTACTTTCTTTTCATTGTCTTTAACCACCCAGTGGTAGACCAAAAATTGGTTAAGTAAAGTTCATATAAGAACAAGACAAACTACTCACAAATATGTTTTAATATTGTTATTTATGTGTTTAAAGTTGTAAGGCATAAGCTGGGTTATTTTAACAAGTTATTTTGTTTGAGACTGTTTACTTCAACCAAACCACAAATAATCTGATTTTGTTATAAAATAACCTCTCTCCAAAAAAAGGTCTATCATGTTTCACTAACAAGAGTTTTCTTTTGCATTTGACTTATATCCGAAAGAACTCATGCACATTATAAGCAAATAATTATTCTCGCTTCACAGGTGGATGTTAAACACACCTAGCGATTAAATAACTTCTGTGAGGCACTACCGTGTCTGCAGTCGACAGTATTTTCAAATTTCTTTAGTTTGTGAATCCCATCAGCTTAAAATGAAAAATTCTAAGCGTGAACCTCCCTAAAGTAACTCTTGAGGTCGTCCTCCCTACTATTTAGTCGGCATGGATAATCCCCATATGAAATGGAGAACCCTGGAAACAAATGATCTGGGTATGTCCTACAGCGTCTGCTCAGTCCTGCCTTCTTAGGCTGTCTATAATGGGGCTGAGCTGGCCACCCTCCTTTACTGGGCTTGACCTCAAGGGACATTTTGTGAACACGGGCGTCGTGAATATTTTTGTATCACAGAGTCTCAAATAATTTGAGAGACTTTTAAGAGTTAAACTGCTGAAAATGGAAACAAGAAGGAGTAAGTGACCAGTATTCACACAATTAAGTTAAAGCTTCTGTCAATGAAGCTGTCTCTCCTCTGAGTTCTGATCATCAAACATTTGCTTTCAAAATTAGGCTTTCTTGTTTGGGCCCTTCTTGTGGGAATAATTAGAACACTTAGCAGCAAGGGAGAACCATACCTTGATCCCAAGCCGTCGTTTCTGCCGTGATAATCGCAGGAGCACTGTGAAGGACACGAGCAGCCCACTCCTTCCAAAAAGCTGAGCACAACGCACAGACATGCAAAGAGCCGCATGGCTCCTTTTAGAGGTTGGTTAAACAAAAGGTAAAACCCAAAGCCTAAGCATTCAGAAACTGGTGTGCCTGGAATGCAAACAGCCATTTAGAAACAGCAGATTACATGGGATTAGCTGAGATCCTTAGTTACTTAACCTTCAAGCGTGTCTTGCAGGGGATCAATCGACCCAGCCTTTGAATTTGGCCACAGCAGAGTAACACATTCTAAAGAAAATGAAAATCAAACACATGTCAAGACAATTTCAATAGTTACCTATATCTAGATTTGCAAGGAAATGCCTATTAAATCCCTTTCCTATGCCTGTACTTGCCACTATCCCTTAAAATACATACAATGTTAAAAGTAATTCAGCCTTGGCAGATGCTAGAAAATTCTGTAAATTATTTACATGTCGTAACATTATAAACATTTTTTGCCTTTGCTTTTCACCAGCATGTATAACATCCAGTTTTACAAAACTTAAATTTAAAAATAGAAGCACATGGCATAAAATTGATTTAGAATACAGTGATCAGTGTTGCCACATACAGGTTATCTTTGAAAGTAAAGTAAACCAAGTTCATGCATAGATTTTATAGGACAAATGCTTCAATCCACCATTAGACTTAGCAGGACCAAGACTCAAATGACAGTGTGTTCTGAGACTCTTCCAGATCGTCTCAGTGTGTGTAATGTTTATCCCAGCATGTTTATTTTTAATATAAGTAATGATCTCCGTTCAGGATCGTATTTTACTCCAAGCAAGTTTCCCAAGTTATAGCATCAAAACCATATTTGAAGATCATTGTCATTATTTTAACAACATTAGGCTCTATCAGAAAATAAAAATTAAATTTAATTAAATTTGAAAATTATCTCCACATGCATAAAATGGATAATCCACAGAGACAATTAAAGATTTAAGTAACGTAGTCTTAAAGATATATGTCACGCAGTCTTCTTATTGGGTGGTTCTAGCCCTCATCTTTATGCCTAAGAAAATCAATTCTACAAAAATAAGAGTATTATGAGAAATAGTATTTAAAACTAATAGAATTGATATGGAAACAACAGAGTCTGAAAACTGCTTAATTAAAATAAAACACTGCACGTTTTCAGATACTGCACAATTCATTTGTTCACCGAATATTGACTGAGTACTTACTCTGTACCAAGCACTGAGGGGTAGAAAAGATGAATAAGACACAATCACTACACACAAGGAATTCACTCAAAAAGGAGAGGGATAGCGCACTGATGAAGCACAAGAGAACATCAAACCAACCGTGTTGATCAAGCAAGACTTCCCAGGGTGGGTGGTCCCTGAGCTGCCTCTTACGGATCATGTTCATGTATTATGGGGAAATCAGGAAAGAGAACTGCAGGCAGAGGGAACAGCAAGAACAAAAGGAGGGAAGCAAGAAACAGCATGTTGTCCTCAGAGACACTTCTTAGGCCTAGGTGCAGTGGATCACTCCTGTAATCCCAGCACTTTGGAAGGCTAAAGCAGGAGGACTGCTTGAGCCCAGGAGTTTGAGACAGGTCTGGGCAACACAGTGAGATCTTGTCTCTACAAAAAAAATCCAAAAAATGAGCCAGGCATGGTGGTGTGTGCCTGCAGTTCCACCTACTCAAGAGGCTAAGGCAGAAGGATCACCTGAACCTAGGAGGTCAAGGCTGTGGTGAGCCGTGATCATGCCACTGTACTCCAGCCTAGGTGACAGAGTAAGACCCTGACTCAAAAACAAACAAAAAGAACAAACAAGCAAACCAAAAAAGGAGGAGTGCAAGCACTTCTTGTTGTTCAGGTGTAAGATTTTGAGGCAGGAAATTTAAAGAAGGGAAAGATAAAGCTGGAGAGGTGAGTGGGATGAAGTTATGGAGAAAGGGTCTCAGATTCCCTGTTATAGTATTTCTACTCAGCCTGCAGGGAATGATAGTAATATAGGTTAGGCCTGGAAGTGGCACATAGATGATTATATTAGGTAGAATTTTCCGGCAGCTTAGTGGAGGAAAGGTTTAGACAGAGCAAGCCAGAAGGGAGGAGGAGGCCTCGGATGGATGACTGTGGTTATAGGTAGGCGGCCATCAGGCTACAGCCTGGACTGCTGTACTGGTCATGTTTAGGCGAATGCAGCTTCAGGAAACATCTAGGAGCGAGAAATGCTTGATTAGATGTAGAGATGAAGAAGAAAGGATTTAAGAACAACCCTATAGTTTTCCAGCACTGGGGATACAGAGATACACGATAACCCTGAGATTTTGAGCACAAAAGCGGGAAGAAATGGGGGATGGGATAAGTAGAGAGAGCTGTGATATAACCAAAATGGCTTTTGAATTATTAATTTCATGTACGTTGTGACCTACATAGAAGCAGGACATGCCAAACTAAGTGTAGAAAAGCTGGTTAAAGATAAAACATTAAGGCCAAGGATAATCCCAGCACTCTGAGAGGCTGAGGCAGGATGATTGCTTGAGCTCAGGAGTTTGAGACCGGCCTGAGCAACATAGCAAGAGCTCTTCTCTACAAAAAATGAGAAATTAGCCCGGCGTGGTGGCATGCACCCATAGTCCCAGCTACTAAGGAGGCTTGAACCCAGAAGGTCAAGGCTGCAGTGGACCATGATTGTGCCACTGCATTCCAACCTGGGTGACAGAGTGAAACCCAGACTCAAAAGAAAAAAATAAAAGAGATAGAACATCAAATCTAGTAAACTAAGAGGTAAGAGGGAATTATGTAAGATTATGAAAAGCCAGATCTTCCTGGACATGTAGTATTAAAATATGTGTTGTTCACTGTTGACGTCCTTTAGGCTTGAGGCAGATTTCCTTTTTTGTTACTGGAAATGAGTTCAAGGTTTTGCAAAGTGAAACCTGAATCAAAGTTCTAGGCAATATTACAAATGCTGTAATACATTTTAATGGCTCTGTGATTTGGGGGTACAGTCCCTCACTGTGCTTTCCCTGTAAATGACTCGGCTACAGAGGACAGGATAAGCAAAGAGCAAGTGGCACAAAGCATTCAGAGCTCTCTGGGGACACCAAACATTTTAATTTGGCCACGAAGAAAGATAAAATGCTGAAAAGTCCTTTGAGGCCATGTTAATGAGGGTCTTGAAATTCAGCCAAAGGGTTAATACTTACTTGGCAAGCAATTGAAGAATTTTTTGGAGCTAAAGATGGGGGGTTATAAACGTATTTTTTTTAAGTTAGCTACAAAGCTGATGTATTGATTGTAGTGGAGAAAGGCAGAGGGTGAGGAGCTAAGTTAGGAGAATATTATAGCAGCTTACCATTTCATATACATGGAATGCTGTACATATACAACGGACACCTGGATTTTACTTGTCGTGCAATCAAATGTGTTAATGAGACAACTTACAAAAAGAAAAAAATAGAGATACAACATGCAAAGATACACTGCCTCACTAGCAGTTAAAGAAATGTAAGAAAAAAGAAAGTTATAGTACATAATTCATAGTTTAAATATATAATGATACAGTACTATAAGCAGGAATATAAGGAGAAAGACACACTTAGATACTGCCAATGTCAATGTAAATTAATCAGTCTTTCCAGAGAGCAACTAGCAACAATAACAGTGTTTTTATATTTATGTCCAATAGTTCTGGTCTGAAAAAACACTCCAGTAGAATAACCTCTCCCAAAGAAAAAAAAGCATAATACTGATGAAACTACTAAAATGTTCCCAGTGGTGAATCCATGAAACTAAAAATTGGAAGCAATTTAAATGTCTACTATCACACAATGGTATGTTGTGCTATGCTTACTGGTCATTTAAAATGACAAATATGTGAGTCTACATTCATTCATTCAACATTCAACAAATATTTATTGAGTGCTTACTACGTGACAGACAGAATGGGTCTATGTATTAAGGTTACATCAGTGAAGAAATATATAAAAAATTCCCACTCTGACTTAACTTAATTCTAGGGGCAAACATATGGAAATACATATGCAGAAAAATGATAATTAAAGTTGCAGAATACAGAATAGTATGCTCAGAGATTATATTGCTACATAAAATATGCATGTGCATTGGTTAATGTAATTTAGAAGCAAGAGTTTTAATGTTTATTAGATTATTTTTGTTGTATAGCATAAATTAATAATTGATTTAAAATTAATTTTGAAATGCTAAAAATTACTTCTAGCTGGCAACAATGAATTTCAGTAATTATTTATTAAAGATTATTAATTATTATTATTACTGTATTCTAACATTAAAATTGTGGCTGCTTCTTGTCTAATGGCGGATTCAGGCAAGTTACAGGTCATCAATATGGCGCATGCTACACTAGGAAGAAAGAGAGGGGACTTTAATCTCATGTGCCAAGATTCATCAAAGCACTAAATTTACATGTAAGGAAACAGAAAACACACACATTACAGCAGCCAAAGATCAAACAGAAGAGCTATGAGCCACACCTGAGGAACGGACTGTCTAATAGGACAATAATCTATATCTGCCTTTGATCCAAATGGGCTTATATCTATAATAAAATTAAGGCATTGCAAGCAAAAAAAAAATGTTTTGATAGTGTGTGCTCTTCTCTTATTTCAGTTTTTTCCAGAAGTCAGTGGGTTTTGAGATACATTCATTGGTAAACTACTTGTTGCGGGCATTGCTTGGTAAGTCTGACATTTCAACATGGCAAACATTGCTCTCCGAAACCTACAATAAAAAAGAGAAAATGTGGCATTACCTTATAATAACTTGGAACTTTCAAATATGGTTGAGGTACAATTTGGTACACTACTGCCACCTGACATCTTCAAATGAATTTCCACTCCCAACTTTAACATCTTTTGTTGAGAATATGCATATGTTAGAGTATACAGTAAAGATCAATTTTGTACCATTGATTATAAACATTGAAGACATTTGATAAAAGTCAATAATTATGTGTGTTTCAAGTAACACCTCTAATGTCAAGTGCAATTAGTTATTTCTTTGGACTAATAATGTATGTTTCACACAACTGTTCTTCCAA